ATTCAGGAGGTCTTGGGTTCAATCTCCATTGGCCTCATGCACCTTCCTGGGCAAGCTTGGCGCCCGCCACCTAGAGATATGTCGTTGGTCCCCCCGCGTGGCATTGAGCAGAGACTGCTGATGTTCATAGGGGGAGGGGACCGGAGGGGAGGCACAGTGACTAGCCCATCGAAGAAGCTCGGTCCTGATGCTACCGGCTGACCCCTGGCCGATATCCGCCACCTGCTGTAGCAGGTATCGCACCGGTCCTGATGCTACCGGCTGACCCCTGGCCGATATCGCCCACCTGCTGTAGCATGTATCGCACCTGCTGGTGGGTGCAGCTCCCGCATGTTTCCTCGTTGGAGGCTTGAGCACGGATNCCCTGGCCGATATCGCCCACCTGCTGTAGCATGTATCGCACCTGCTGGTGGGTGCAGCTCCCGCATGTTTCCTCGTTGGAGGCTTGAGCACGGATGTGGATGCTACGGGGTTCCCCGTAATACTATAATGACAATAAAAAAAGGCCTGAAAGGCCGTCCTGTCCAGATTTGACAGGTAATTGAATTGGTTGGGCTTAAAGAATTAGCCTTTAAAAAAAAAAAAAAAAACATGGTCTCGGTTGGCAGTGGGCAGTCGGGCTGGAAGTCCACGACCACCGAACAGTTTGCAGCCATCCTGTGGACCTGGGGCAAGGTCACAGTTTCATCCACATCTTGGCCGTAGAAGACGAATGTCAACGACCATTACCGGTTTGATCCATGGAAGTGGGACCTTGCCCAGGGTCGCATACGTGCTTCGTAGAATCGAATGTTGGGGGTTGAGACGTCAGCTCGTGCAGGACGGGAAACTCTCCAGAGAAATGAGTTATATACCCACCGACGGCAGAACGATATGACTATAGGCCTCCACATTTCCCCGAACACAACGCACCCTGAGAACGAATGTACACAAGCTATACTTCCGGTCCCATGCAGGCAAAATGAGTGTGCGTTGTGTTCCGGGGACGACGCTAGCACGCGTGGACAGCCTCCACTGTACACGATTGTGTATTAAGGGAGTGAAATCCTCGATACCATAGACTAGTATCCATTGAGTAGTGACAAGACCGGCTACATAGAGCGGTTGTCTGCACTTTTCCGTAAGCTGGTGCATTCCTAAGCACTACGTGCGTTGTCTTCTCGGTTAGATCTCTCTCCTTTATCACGGTGCTCACATCCTAGTTGGCAGGAAGTGTGTCCACGTGCATCGTTACGAAGTTAATCCTAATTTTATTGAAAGCGCATTCCAGTCTGTTCTGATCCTCTCGAGGGCTGAGCGAGAGAGAGAGAGAGAGAGAGAGAGAGAGAGAGAGAGAGAGAGAGAGAGAGAGAGAGAGAGAGTCTACTTCGTGAAAGGACTGTGCCATGGCGAGTCATGGGGCGTCTATCGGGATTGATCTTGGAACGTCCTTCTCCTGCGTCGGCGTGAGACGACGGGGCAGAGTCGAGATCATCCCGTTCGAAACGGGATCGCGATTAATGCCCTCGTTCGTGGGATTCACCGAAAACGGGCGAGAGATAGGCGAGGCAGCGAAGTTATGTTCCGTTGAAGAGCCGGAGAGCGTGTTCTACGAGGTCAAGCGATTGGTGGGTCGCAAGTTCAAGGACGATCACGTTCAGCAGGATCTGAAGAAATGGCCGTTCAAGGTGGTGCAGGGAGAGAACGAGTTGGCTGCTTTACAAGCCGGCGATAGTGCGTTGGGAGAAGCGAGGCACAAGAAATTTGCACCAGAGGAGATCTCGGCCATGCTACTGTCGAAGATGAAGGAGACAGCCGAAGATTACCTTGGGTGCGAGGTGAAGAACGCGGTGATCACCGTCCCGGCGTACTTCAACGACTTGCAGCGTCGAGCTACAAAGGACGCGGGGCGAATTGCTGGATTGCACGTTTTGCGGCTGCTGAACGAGCCGACTGCAGCGGCATATGCATACATGGATTACAATATGATTCAAGGGCGGGAAGAGGGGAGCCACGTGGCGTCCCAGGCGATTGTCCCTCGGGGTCCGGGCACTCTACCGGCCAGTGGTGGGGAGAACGTCCTGGTGTTTGATCTTGGAGGAGGGACATTTGATGTCGCCATTCTGCGCGTGACCGGGTCAAAGAGTAAGGTCTTGGTGCTGAATGGCGACACTCACCTCGGTGGAGCGGATTTTGACAACAACCTTGTGCAGCACGTCTTCAATCAGCTGGCCACGAGGCAGCCCGGCAGAACCGTCTCATTGCAGTCAGATGGGAGATTTCTCAGCAAGCTGAAGAAAGCGTGCGTCCTCGCGAAGCGCGTTTTAAGTGATAATCCGATCGCTTACGTGGACGCTGCCAACGAGCGCGTCGTAATAACTCGGGCCGCTTTCGACCAGATCAATGGGGTTCTGTTCCAAAGGTGCATGGACATCGTGCAGAAAGCTTTGGACGATGCCAAGCTCAGCGTCTCCCAGATCTCGAACGTCCTGCTCGTCGGAGGATCTTCTAGGATTCCCAAGATCAAGGCCATGTTGAAGACTATGTTCAACGGCAAGCAGCCGCAGCAGTGTCTGCATCCGGACGAGGCCGTCGCTCACGGGGCAGCCGTGCTGGCAGATATCTTGGGGGGAGACAAGTGTGTGGACAGGAGTAGCCTCCCCGTACAGGAGGTTACCCCGTTGAGTCTTGGAGTGGGCCTTCATCTAGGTCGGATATTGGTGATGATTCCGAGGAATAGTGACGTCCCTTGTGAACACACTGAGCAGTTGGTCAGTGTTTATGATGGGCAAACTGCAATACTTTTCCGTGTTTACGAAGGGGAGCGTCCAGTCCAGGAAGACAATCACTATCTCGGGGAAATCACACTAAGGGGGTTCAAACCGGTGGCGGCTGGCGAAGCGGCGGCGGACGTTCATCTGTGCATAGATGAAGATTGTATCGTTCACATCTCCGCGACAGGAGTAAAAAATCATACGGAGCTGGGAAAGAGGGAAAGCGCGGTGATTACCAACAAAGGTCCTCTGTCTGAGTCGGCTATTCAGAGCATGATAGCGGACGCGGAAAAGTACAAGCGAGACGACAAGGAATTTCTGCGATGCTGCGATGTGTGGAACCAACTTGAAGGGCGAGCACGGCAGGCGAGGAAGGATATCTCTACAGTGGGCTATGCATTTAGAGAGCCGTTGGAATCCCTTATCAATGAAATCCTCAACGATCATCAGGCGACGTCAGCCTCTGCCGTGCGACGTGGCATGGGGTACGTTCAGCAGAAAAGAAGGGAGCTCGACGTTGCATGCAACAACGCCGGGATATGACATGCAGCAACGTCTGAACATAGCCGTTGTTTGCTACGCTGACTGTCACGAAGTCTCCGTTTTTGTTGTCATTCTATCATCCTCTGATCCCGTTTCAGTCTGGGAAGATGATGTTGGCTGTCGTACGTGAATCCGTCACGACTCACGAACTCAGAGTGACCAGTGTCCAGCTCGTGCCCGGCGTTTTGGCTTTCGTACTGCAATCGGTTCTGCCTTTCGCTGGCCACAGGATTGCCAGTGTCGATATCGGTTGATAGTACGCCTTCGGCTGTTCTCATGGACTGTGGAGATTGGGGTGATTTCGAGCTACCAGTTTGCTCGATACAGGAGACTATCGAGTGTTGCGCTTCTCTATGTTCGAGTTCGTATTCGTCATTCAATGCCATGAATGCAGGCTTGATCGCCGTGATAGACTACTTGAAAAGGCTGGGCTTGGGAAACTAACGGTATTCTTTCTGTCTCTCTCCTGCCCTCCGCTTCCCTCTCTCTCTCTCTCTCTCTCTCTCTCTCTCTCTCTCTCTCTCTCTCTCTCTCTCTCTCTCTCTCTCTCTCTCTCTCTCTCTC